GCTTGTGATTTTTATCATGTGACAAACATCTTATCAGCGGTATTACAATAAGACTTTCTCTGAGACGATCTCCTAATGACTTTGTTATCATGTCTGAGCATAGAGATAAACATTACCGTGTTGAAATCACAGAGGCTAACCTATATGTGCGCAAAATGACAGTAACCGATTTTGTGCTATCGTCGATAGAAAAAAAATTCTGTTGAAAACACCCGCAATATACAATTATATTGAAGTTTTACCGAGAACTTTTTTGGCCACAACTGGCGTGCAAAGCTGGCGACAAGAAGACGTTTTTGCCAAAGAGCCAGTTCGTCGAATGATTTTAGCAATGAGCTCGAATACAGCATACCTGGAAACTAACCGAACAAACCCGTTTCACTATCAAAATTTCAGCTGAATGAAATCATTGTTTACCGAAACGGTCTGCCCATTGCAGGAACTCCTGTGTCAACGACTGATAACAAAAAAAAATACTATAACACATTGGAAGCTCTAGACTTTGTTTTCAACAATAGTCATGGAATCAGTTTGGCTAATTATCACAATCATTATATTATGGCATTTGATCTCACATCTACTCAGGAGGCTTCACATGACTTTATTCATCCTGAATTGACCATTGCACCATTTCAGTAGAACTGAAGTTTGATGCACCGCTGGGGGAAAATGTAGAGTTACTTTTCATGGGAGAGCGTGAATCACAGTTTACGTGCGTTCCGATAGAAAAATAGCTAAAAACACTCTAATGAGTTGACTCGGTGAAAAAAAATGGACAATTTACAGATTACTGAGCTTATTCACCGATGCAAGCATTTGAAACATCGATTTTGTGGCATTTTTCCCGCTAACTTAGCATTTAATACAACATTGAAACGTGACAATACTTTCATGATAGTGAACGCATCAAACTCAGACCAGCCAGGAACTCATTGGTTACTGTTTGCTCAAGCTGGTGGTCAAATCTTTTTTGCAGATCCTCTTGGACGAAGCCTACACAACTATCCACATGTATACAAAAATATGAGACGTTCTATCCATGAGGGAAACCAAATACTGATGAATAAGCCAATCCAATCAGCTAACTCGGTCTTGTGCGGACTTTATTGTATTTATGTTGCTCATGTTATAATTTCATCTAAATTTCCTATAGGTTTCAAGGTTAATGACCATGACATGATGCGTTTTGCTAAACATATGATGTTATAAATTTGTGATACTGATGCATTTCTTTAATGATTTATAATTTATTTTTAAGAAAAAAACATGTTTTATGGTTGCTAGAACACTTGCCTCTGGCGTTATCGCAGGCTCTGAAAACCGTTTTCAGAGTTTAAATTTTTTTTCCATTATAAATTTAACAAACAAAGTATTTGAATCAATCTCTAAACGACCATACCCACT